GTGCATAATCACAAATACATCTGTATTAGGTATTTTCATTGGATAGTGTTACATTGAAAACATCACTATAATAAAATATATTTCTAAAACGTATCTAGGATTTTTTATTTTGCTACCAGAAGTATAAATAATTGGAAATAATCTTTGAGTATTACTGTAAAGCAATTTGATCATTGTGTGGCAGTTTTATATAGTATTTAAGTAGTAAAGTCAGGAAACTTTGGAAACTGTTCATGCTTTCAGGTGACTAGAATGCCCTAGCTTTTATGAGTCAGTAGCATACCTAGTAGTTGAGACCTTAGTATAATATATGATTAATAGACTTTCCTGAAACTGTTTTAGCTTCCAAGAGATTTTACTTCATCACATTTTTTATTTCTCAGTAATATTCGTGAGTGTTATATATTGGGAATTGGTCATTAATTCATTCTTTTTTTAACTGAAGCAGTCTAACATGAGTTTGAAAAAAACATTGAGCTGGTGATTTCTGCTTTCACATTTTATTACAGCCTCAAAACTTGTTTTATAATGATTTTTAGTGATATTTTAACATCTTTGTGATTTCATGGCTCTGTACATTTGGAAGTTCCATTCCTACTCTTGTAGCTACCAAAAACCTTTCCCTCCCTCCCCTGGCACACTTCTTTCAGCACAGGAGATGAATGTAACCATAGAATTAGGGCCCCATACTTGCATTTTTTCATTACTTTTGTTCTATTGAAGTATCGTGATAGCCACAAAAAACATCTGGGCCTACAACTAATTACCTTGCAAATGGTAAATCACTGTGGGTTTAAAATTGTTTGTAATATGACCATTCTTATTACATAGTTAATCGCTAGATGTAAGGGTTTTTCTATTCATTAGTGCTGGAAATAACAGACTGTGCTGCCCATAAGAGACTGAGTTTGATTATAGAGAAAAGAGAGTAAAATGTGAACTTTTCATTCAATGGTATTTTTAATATGATAGGTGCTATATATATAATGACTTTGAAAATGATCTTTCTTATGTGACTATTTGTAAGATTTCTTTGTTAATAGAAAATGTGTATTTAGAATTTTGTTAAGAGTGTAAGATCTGGACTTCGATGGTTTGGGTTTATATCCTGGCCATTTCCAAAGTACAATTTGGCAAATATATTTAATCCCTCTGTATCTCAGTTTCCTCATTTCACAATTGGCATACTAATACAATATTTTAGATGGTTTTCAGGAGGATTAGTTGAGTTTAATGTAAAGCAGTTAAAACAGCATGTAGTGCTTGGTAAAGTTAGCTGCTATTAGTGAATACTGTAACACATAAAAATTCAAATTATTAATGATTTGGGTGCCTAAATGAAACTTTTTTTTCCCTTAGCTCCTGTTTCTCCTTCTAGAATCCTGAAGAATGTTTAAATTTACCTTAAAGCTGCTAGAGCTCAAGCTTCAGCCCCTGAGCATTTTGGTTTTAATTTTTACTTTTCTGCTTGAAGCGGAGTCCCAAATTATATGTATGTGCTTTAGGCGTAACCAGCTTCTCTAAAAATTAATGACTTAAAATAATCACTTATTTTGCCCATGAATCTGTAATTTGGGTAGAGCTTGCAGGGGACTGCTCGTGTGTGCTATATACAGGGTTCCTGGGGCAGCCCACCTGGGGCTGGAATACCCTTTTCCAAGATGTCTCACTCAAGATGGCTGGCCGGTTGATGCTGGCTGTTAGTTCTCCATGTGAGCCACTCTGTGGGGTAACTTGAGCTTCCTCACAGAAGTGGATGCTGCCAGGTTTTAAAGACTTGGGCAGGAAAGCCAGCCTGTCTTTGCTAGAAGTAAATATAGTATTAAGTTCTACTATATTTTATTATTCAAGTGGCTATAGAACCTACATTTAAGAAGAGGGGACAAACAACCCACCTTTTAATGGAGAAGTGTCAAAAAATTGTGGTTCCATATTTTAAAATCACCACACTGTGTTTGCTATTAATTAAAATAATAACAAGCAAGGTAGCTATTATGGACTACTTTGTTGGAAGTGTACCCATTTGACAGAGGATGTGGTTTCTGGGTTACTTAAGGAAAAAGTCACTTTGACCTCCTGATGATGATATAGTCATACTTTTTTTTTTTACACTGGAAGTTTCAACAGAAGCACCAACAAATATATCAGATGTCAAAATGAGTTGTGAGAAATTATCCAAACACAAAATTTCAAAGAATATAACAAAACCAATTATGTAACTTTTGAATTCTCTCACTTACATCGAGTATATAAAAAATTCAAGTGTAAAATCTGAGAGAGAATTTTCTGAGGAGAATTTATAGTGGGAGAACTGTAGGGGTGCTGTGAGCATCCCCTGACCCTCTGCCCCTCATGTGTATCTGTGCATCATCTTAAGTGTGGTGAGAAGGGCTTCAACAAACCCCTTGGAGAGTATGATGTTTGCTTCAAGACAACAATGACAAAAGTCCTGATCAGTTTCTGAGGGATCGAAGGAGGCCTGTGGTTGTAGGATGGAGGGCAGAGTCTGGATGAACTATATCATCTCCCACAGCAAGGCAAATGGAAGTGAGCCCCAGGGCTGGCTGTGAAACCCGTGGTAAAGATGTTAGCCTGAAGTCATTTTAAAGGGATCCTGCCCAGAGAGCAGCCTGTCAGGGAAACGGGAGCCCAGGAGTACATTGCTGTGGGCATACTGTCAGAAGCTGAAGTTGAAGGAGATCTAGTTTAGTCAGCTGAAAGAGAAGCAGCCCCTGCATGTTGGGATTGAAGTTGATGGGTCCTGCAGTGAGACCTCGGTAGAGACTTAACATGCCACTAGAATGATTCAGCCAAGGACATAGAGAACAAAGCCATCTTGTGGCAGTCCAGTCAAGTAAGAACCTTTCTAACCTCTTCTCAGTTCTGACCTTATTCAACCCTCACCTTGCTCTGCCCTTAGTGGGGATGGGAAACCAATTGGCCAGCTGAGGGAGGAATAAAACTATTGACAGGCAAAAAGAAAAGATGGACATTAACTTTCTCCAGCTGTAAGCCACCAGCTTGCAGCAGTCCCTAGTTGGGGCAGAAGAAGGGTTAATGTTAAATTTAAGTTAGAGCTTTGATTATTATGTGGAGTGTGCCATTAAATATTTTTATTATAAAAGGTTTTCTACATGCACAAAAGTAGAGAGAATAGTAAAATGAGCCCCTTTTTACCCCGACTCAGAATTAGCAATTATCAAGATTTTGCCATACTTGTTTCATGTATGTCTACATAATATAGAGTACAGCTATAAAATGTATGGATATTTTACTACATAACTACAGTGCTTTTATCCTACCTAACAAAACTAACAATAATTCCATGGTGTTGTTCAATAATAAGTCCACCTTCAAATTTCCTTGATTGTCTTGAAAATGTCTTTTTATAGTTGATTTCTTCTAATTAGAATATAATTAAGTTGTAGATATTCTATCCGACAGCAGTCTTCTTGCATCTCTAACCCACCAACTGTGATTTGTTGAAGAAATGTGGCAGTTTGTCCCATAGAATGTCCATGTTCTGAATTTGTTTGTTCTCTTTTTTGGATTACTTCACATGCTTTTTTAGCCCCCATTTTTCCTGTAAACTGGAAGTTAGCTCTAAAGCTCCAATTAGATTCAGGTTCTGCTTTTTTGGGCAAGAATGCTACGTCGATATGGTGCTGTGAATTTCATATTGCATTACATCAGGAGGCACACCGTGTCTGGGTCTACCACTTCGGTGGCATTGGAATTCAGCAGTGGGTTCAGGTGGTGACAGCTCAATCCCTTCATTGTTAAGTTTCCCATTATCTTTTTATCTCGTTGTTTCATCCACGCATGCTGGCTTCCTTGATTATTTTACTAGGAGTTACAAATAGGTGCTTTTCTAACTCTGTCATTCTTACCTCATTAGCTGGAATTTTTCTGTAAGGAAAAACTTTTTCCATAACAACTTGGCTATTTGGTTACCTGGAAAAGGAGTTTACCTAGGATAGACAGGATAAATGTTTAATTCTTTCCCTTTAAATGTTAATTTCAGAGTAAGTAGTTTGTGCCCTAGTTACCTTCAGTGGTGGCCATTGAACTGACTTTCTTTCCATCTTTCTTTTCATCCCTATGAACATATGGATTTATATATTCAATGTGTTTCAAACAGTTACATTCATTATCGCTTTAGATACTCAAAAATTTTAATCTTTAGCCAATGGGAACACTTTCATGTTTCTCTTGTGACGTGACCCCATTACTCTTACATAGTTTCCTTGCTCAAGATGTTCAGTTTGTTTTGCATATTTCTTTCCCCAGATACCAGTCGTTCCTCTAAAGAGTCCTTTTTTCTTGTAGTGGGGAATGATGGTTAGAGTCTAAAGTCCGGTCCCTTATGATCCTTATTGTTATTGAATTGTTCATTACTTGGAAGTCTTTTTAGTGGACAGAGCCAGGAAATATGTATTTTTACAAAGAAAAAAAGTCGTGATGTGATACTGATATTTCCAGTTTAAGTTTAACCTTACAGAAACTTTACATAATTTCTTTGATTTTATTGTCATTTCTCTTTTCTGTCTCTCTTCTTTTTTTAAAAAAAATGGAGTCTTGCCCTGTCATCTAGGCTGGAGTGCAGTGGTGCAATCTTGGCTCACTGCAACCTCTGCCTCCCAGGTTCAAGCTATTCCTCCTGCCTCAGCTTCCTGAGAAGCTGGTACTACAGGTGCACACCACCATGCCCAGCTAATTTTTTTTGTATTTTTAGTAGAGATGAGGTTTCACCGTGTTGGCCAGGCTGAACTTAAACTCCTGACCACAAGTGATCCTCCCACCTCAGCCTTCCAAAGTGCTGGGATTACAGGCATGAGCCACTGTGGACGGCATGTTTTCTCTTAAGTAATTATTATTTGCTGTATCCTACAAAATGTATAGTTTCAAAATGTATATCCTACAGTATATAAAATATGGTTTCAAAATGTCTATTCTGCAGCATAAAAATTTTAATTTCAAATAATTATACTGATATTACCACTGAGAATATTTAATGAAATATAAGCTTTCTTTACAGCTGTATTTGTCTTTAGAATTTATTCTGCTAGGTATAGACAGTCAAAATACTGTATTCTATAGCTACTAGAATTAATTTGTGTGTGTGCTATTATCACTACTTTATATTCAGTAGCTTTATTTCAGTTATTTGCCAGTATATATGCTTTTATTTATAAAAGAAACATTGGTGACTTAAAACCTAGTAGAAATGATTATACAGGGAGGAAAAGAATGGGTAAATGAAAGTGAGTGTTCTCTGAATATACATTCTTATATAGGTTTAACTTTGGATTCATATAAATGTGTTATGTATTTAGAAAATAAAAATTAGATTAAACAATCTTCACCTGGAGATGCCCAATAGTCTGATGGAGATAATGAGTTTGGAATTTAGGGGAGAAGTTAAGCTGGAGATGTAATTTTGGGAGACAGTGTTTTAAATTACAGATGAGTGAATGAGACCAGAGTGAGTCTGAATGTGGATGAAGCAGTCTAAGCCTGAGAAGTGATATGTCTCGTCACGTAGAGGTCAGAAAGAAGGCAAGAGTTCAGCAAAGGAGGTGGAGGGGCTTCTAGTGAGGTGAAAAGGAAACTCAGAGGAATGTGGTGTCAGGAAGCCACATGAAAACGTGACTCAAGAAGGAGGAACTGACCATGTGCCCTTCCAGTCACTTTTTGTATTGCTATCCTTTCATATGTTCTAAACCACAAATGAATATCTAAAGAGTCGAAAGAGGTAGTTGAAGTTAGGGAAGCGGGAGATATTTAGAGTGGGAGGGGACTGCTCTGATAATGGCAAAGTGAGTCCAAGTGAGAAGTTGAAGTAAACCAATTCATTGAAAACTTTAATTCGGCGCCTAACTACCTCCTTATAACCTCAGAATTCTCAGCAGATTTTGCAGCTTAGATGGAAGTCAGGAATTAAAAGAACATCAAACTTAAATTTTAAGTCAGAATAATAAGAAGCTAAAAAGTATTATCTTTCATGAATTGTATGGGTAAGAAACAAAAGAGAAAAATAAAGGTATCTTCTATTTTTTTTAAAGCCAATTGATTAGCCTAAATTTTATGATTGAAGGAAAAGACAATTATCTTGATAGAAAGTGAGGGCGGAGTGGGTGGTATAACTTCAAAGTGTTCTGCACGCTGGACACATTGATCAAAGGCAAAATAATAAAAGAAGCAAGTCTGAGGAGTCATTACATTATTACAAAAAGACTCCCTGTGTTTCAGTTTATGACACCAGAGTTCCTAAGGCGAAGTCAAGAGATGAAAGATACCATAGTTGATGCACTCAGTGAATTCTGTTAATGGCTTCCTTTTCACTTGTGAATTTTCTTCAAAGGTAAGTTTTAGGTACAAAGGATTTCACAGAAGGATGTGAAATACATGTATATGGAGGGAAACTGGCTTCTCTCCTCAAGCAATGTGTTGTGGCTGAGAAGGAATGTGGGGAATGGAAGAAAAGGAGAAAAACAGCTTGGTAGAAATACAATAGATGATCTGTTATTTGTTTCAATGTCTGTATGCTTGTGTTGACTAAATGATATTTTTGCCTTTTCTTTTTATAAAAACATTTGACATGTACGAAACAAGAAGTTCCCTGTTTGCTTATGGGTGGAGAACACATTCATCTAATTCTCACTATAAGGTTGTAATTAAGCCCTGGGTGTTTATACTCACAATTCAGGTGCTAGATTATGGGTATTCAATGATCTTAGTTTTAAGGTTTTGGTTCAGAGTTCTAATTTTTGGAATTTTGCTTTTCGAAAACAGCATCAGAAATGACCAAAAGTAGAATATATTCAATGTAGAAACTATGGAAAACGTAGAAAAGCACAAAGAAACACCAAACTTACTGAAAAAATTACCTAAAGGTTGACTACTGTTCTTCCAGTGCTTTTCTATGGATATACTCACTTTTATACATAAATATATATGCACATTTATTCTATTTTAATGTAAAATATTCCATTTTAGATTAACATGCTGCATCATAAAACTCATTTAAAATATACTCTGATATTTTGTGATACCACTTATTATTTTAAATAATTATATAATAAGTATTAAAACGACACATTTTGTTGTATTCATTTGAGGAATTAATGTGTATTCAAACAGCAGCATCAGAAACAGAGATGTTTCATTATCTATTGCTACGTAAGAAGCCATGTCCAAACTTAGTGGCTTAAATTAATTTATGATAATCTCTCACAGGTCTAGGGTTTGAAGGACTTAGCTGGGTTCTTCTTCCTTGGGATGCGTCATAGAGTTGCAGCCCAATAATGGCTGAGGCTGATGTCATTTGTTTAATCATTCATGTGTCTGATGTCTGAGTTGTGATGTCATGTCTGGACATGACATGTATGGATGGCTGGAGGCTAACTAGGTATGTCTCTTTCCATATAGCCATTCCATGTGGCTAGCTCTATCAGATCCCTTATACTGTGGTGTCTTCCTCTGGGACAGGCATTCCAAGAGGACTGGGCAGAAACTTCAAAACAACTTAATGACGTAGCTTCAGAGACCAAGAATGTCACATTTCTGCTACATTCTTTTGATTAAGCAAGTCACCAAAGCCCAGATTCAAGGGGAGAGGACTTAGACTCCATTTTCAAAGTGAGGAATACCAAAAAATTTGCAGTTCCTGTTATATATTAAAAGTGGCCCCATCCAATTTGAAAGTATAATAATGCACTGTTATTTTAATGTTCTGTAATAACAGACGTATCAGTCATGTTATATTTTCATTTAAATACTATTATGGAAAAATGGCACTTGTGTGTTTTTTTTAATAAAAATGCTGTCATAGTATTTTTGTATTGTATTTATCCTACTTGTTACCCTTGAACACTTCCCAATGTCTATAGTTTTCGTAATTTTTTTAATTTTAATTTTTGTGGTTATATAGTAGGTATATAATTTATGGGTTACATGAGATTTTTTTGATTCAGACATGCAATGCATAATAATCATATCTGAGTAAATGGGGTGTCCATCAGCTCAAGCATTTATCCTTTGTCATAAAATACTTTTAATGAGGCTGAGCATGATGGCTCACGCCTGTAATCCCAGCGCTTTGGGAGGCCAACGTGAGTGGATCATTTGAGGCCAGGAGTTCGAGACTAGCCTGAGCAACATGGCCAAACCCCGACCTTACTAAAAATACAAAAAATTAGCCAGGCGTGGTTACAAGCCATACTTGTAATCCCAGCTACTTGGGAGGCTGAGGCATGAGAATCGCTTGAACCCAGGAGGCGGAGGTTGCAGTGAGCTGAGGTCACACCACTGCACTCCAGTCTGGGCAACACAGCAAGACTCTGTCTCAAAAAAAAAAAAAAATATATATATATATATATTTATTTTATATATATATTATTTTTTCATATTTTTCTGATATATCACTTCTGAAATTATGTAAAGATTATCCACTGGTTAGATAAAATAGTTACTATAATAATGACAAAATAATTGTTCACTTTAAATTGAAGTGGGGTTAAGCAAACCAGTATACAGTATAAAGAGCTAAAATAACTAGAGATTTGGTAAAGGAAAGGCATAATTGCTGATGGCTCAATGCTTAACTGACCACTAGGGAATTGTAAATGATTGAAAAAGTCAACCAATCCGGGACACTTAAAGTGAATTATTGTTTTAGTAGCTAAAAATACTTTGAACCTGAAGTCCCACTTGTTGAAGCATTCTTTTAGTAGCAATGGTTTTGTTCATGTAAATGGGGTGAATTAATAAAAATACCACAAGTTATTGAATGGTTAACATAAGTTAGGCATTGTGCTAAGTATATTACATAATTATTTCAGTGAATCCTCACAACTGCTTTTTGAGGTGGATGATTTAATTTCACATTTTCAGCTGAGAAAACAGGTTTAGAGACACAACTGAGATTTAGAGATGCTAAGCCACTTGCCAAACTAATATAGATAATAAGGAGTGATTCAGGATGTAACTTAGGTGATGTGAACTCAAATGTTTGGAGTATGAAAAACAGTGTGGAGATTCCTTAAAGAGCTAAAAGTAGGTATGCCATTTGATCCAGCAGTCCCACTCCAGGGTATCAACCCAGAGAAAGAGAAGTCATTGTACGAAAAAGATACTTGCACACGCATGTTTACAGCAGTACAATTCACAATTGCAAAAATATGGGACTAGCCCAAATGCCCATCAGTCAACGAGTGGATAAAGAAAATGTGGTATATATGTTCCATGGAGTACTACTCAGCCATAAAAAGGAATGAAATAATGGCGTTTGCAGCAACCTGGATGGAATTGGAGACCATTATTCTAAGAGAAGTAACTCAGGAATGGAAAACCAAACATTGTATCTTCTCATTCGGAAGTGGGAGCTAAGCTATGAGGATGAAAAGGCATAAGAATGATACAATGGATTTTGGGGACTCAGGGGAAAGGGTGGTAAGAGGGTGAGGGATAAAAGACTACACATAGGGTTTAATTAGATCCTGTTTGTCTATTTGGGCTTTTGTTGCCATTTGTTGCTTTTGGTGTTTTAGTCATGAAGTTTTTGCCCATGCCTATGTCCTGAATGGTATTGTCTAGGTTTTCTTCTGGGAAAGAGCTTCTGCACAGCAAAAGAAACTACCATCAGAGTGAACAGGCAACCTATGGAATGGGAGAAAATTTTTGCAATCTACCCATCTGACAAACGGCTAATGTCCAGAATCTACAAAGAACTTAAACAAATTTACAAGAAAAAAACCAACAATCCCATCAAAACGTGGGCAAAAGGATATGAACAGACACTCCTCAAAAGAAAACATTTATGCAGCCAACAGACACATGAAAAAATGTTCATCATCACTGGTCATCAGAGAAATGCAAATCAAAACCACAATGAGGTACCATCTCACGCCAGTTAGAATGACAATCATTAAAAAGCCAGGCAACAACAGATGCTGGAGAGGATATGGAGAAACAGGAACGGTTTTACAAGGTTGGTGGGAGTGCAAATTAGTTCAACCATTGTGGAAGACAGTGTGGCGTTTTCTCAAGGATCTAGAACTAGAAATACCATTTGACCCAGCAATCCCATTACTGGGTATATACCCAAAGGATTATAAATCATGCTACTGTTAAGACACATGCACACGTATATTTATTGTGGCACTATTCACAATATCAAAGACTTGGAACCAACCCAAATGTCCATCAATGGTAGACTGGATTAAGAAAATGTGGCGCATGTACTCTATGGAATACTATGCAGCCATAAAAAGGATGAGTTCATGTGCTTTGCGGGGACATGGATGAAGCTGGAAACCGTCATTCTGAGCAAACTATCATAAGGATAGAAAGCCAAACACCACATGTTCTCACTCATAGGTGGGAATCGAACTATGAGAACACATGGACACAGGGAGGGGACGTCACATTCTGGGGCCTGTCATGGTGTGGAGGGCTGGGGGAGGAATAGCATTGGGAGAAATACCTAATGTAAATGATGAGTTGATGGGTGCAGCACACCAACATGGCACATGTATACCTATATAACAAACCTGCACATTGTACACAGGTACCCTAGAACTTAAAGTATAATAATAATTAAAAAAAGACTACACATTGGGTACAGTGTATGTACACTGCTTGGGTGAGGGGTGTATCAAAATCGTAGAAATCCCACCAAAGAACTTACTCATGTAACCAAATACCACCTGTTCTCCCAAAACCCATTGAAATTAAAAAAAAAAATACAAAGGCCGGGCGTGGTGGCTCAAGCCTGTAATCCCAGCACTTTGGGAGGCTGAGGCGGGAGGATCACAAGGTCAGGAGATCGAGACCACAGTGAAACCCCGTCTCTACTAAAAATACAAAAAATTAGCCGGGCGCGGTGGCGGGCGCCTGTAGTCCTAGCTACTCAGGAGGCTGAGGCAGGAGAATGGCGTGAACCCAGGAGGCGGAGCTTGCAGTGAGCCGAGATTGCGCCACTGCACTCCAGCCTGGGCAACAGCGTGAGACTCCATCTCAAAAAAAAAAAAAAAAAAAATACAGTATTCAAAGAAAAACTTTCATCATTAACTATGATCTTGATAGGAGTTTTTTTGATATAAACTTTTTGTCAAATTAGCAAATTCTCGTATTCCAAGCATGCTAAGAGTTTTGTGTTTTTTACATAACTTTATTGATATATAATTAAATTAAAATAAACTTCATGTTTAAATTGTTTAAATTGTACAATTTGATCCACTATTACAGATGTGTACATCTATGGAAACATTACTACAATATAAATAATGAACATTTTTATAATCCACCCCCCAAAAAAACACAAGTGTTTGTAAGTCTGTGTAATATGATTTCTTCTTAAAATACAAAAGTATAAATTGGTAATTTGGAATATGATTAGGTTTAGGGTAGAAGAGGATGCAAAGGTAAATAAAATATGACACTCTTTGTTATGGTTTGGCTGTGTCCCCACCCAGATTTCATCTTGAATTGTAGATCCCATAATCCCCACATGTCATGGGAGGGGCCAGATGGGAGGTAATTGAGTCATGGGGGCAGTTACCTCCATGCTGTTCTCATGATAGTGAGTGAGTTCTTATGAGTTCTGATAGTTTTTTAAGGGGCTCTTCCTCCTTCGCTCAGCACTTCTCTCTCCTGGGACATGTTTGCTGCTGCTTCTGCCATAATTGTAAGTTTCCTGAGGCCTCCCCAGCCATTCAGAACTGTGTGTCAATTAAACATCTTTCCTTTATAAATTACTCAGTCTCAGGCAGTTTTCTATAGCAGTGTGAGAACAGACTAAACACCCTTCTTAAAAAAAAACAAAAACAGAGTAGTGGGTGATCTATGTAGTTATAAGACAAAGAATAATATTACAGGTGATTTATAGAAAAGATACGATCAACTCGTCTTCACTGTGGGGACACAGGACAGAGGCAGAGGGTAGTTGGGAGGTGTTAAACTTAGTTTTGGTTTGATACATGTTTGAGGGACTGGTAGGACGTTTGTTTGGAGATATGCAGAAGTCAGTTTAAAGTGTGAGCATGATTGGGAATTTATTTCTTTAAGAATAATTATTGCCACTATAATCAGAATAGCTTGCCAGAAACTTCGAGGTAGCTCAGTGGAAGTGTCTTGATAGCTGACAATATGAGTCTTGTTCTGCAAGATGTAAATATCAATGGGGAAAGTTGTTCTGTGGCTATTATAGATTTTGGAAATGTTGAATAAAAGTTGTATTCTTTTAGGCCTTTTTAGGGTTTGTTATAGACTTTAAGTATTTTGAATATTTAAGAAGGTTGTTTAGTATCTGCACAAATGTGTTTCCTAAATGTATTTCTGACAGAATTCTTTCATGTGATCAAAATGTGGGCATAGCATTGCATAGACCACACTGGGAAATATTGGTTGGAACTTAAATGAAAGGATAAGAGTTGTATAGGGAGACTTTTACAGGGACCAGGCAAAGCTGAGATTGCTCAGAGGACAGGGTTAAATCTGATATTGAAGGGAAGGAGGGAGTTGAAGTGGAAGCTTGAAGAGGAAACCAGGTGAGAATGGGAAGCTTTTTGTAGGTAAGAAGAGTGCATTTGTGAGATAGGGAGCAAAGGAGAGAGAGAAGGAGGGAGAGAGAAGAGAGGAAGAAGATAAGAAGAAGATAAATTAATAGAGGTAAAATCTTAAGCATGAAAGAATGAGGTCAGAAGCATAGATGGTGGGTTGCTCTTAGAGAAGAGTATGGGTGTTCCATGTTTGGAGACAGTCTATGGAGATAGAGGTGGATAATTTTGAGGGAAGGGAAATAAAATCTTTTAAATATTTGAACTATTACAAAA